CTTGAAATATATTATAATTATAAAAATATCTTGGTCTCTCCTTCAAAACGATATGTTCAATATAATTTACATGCATTCAACGTAGAAAAAAAAAATGATTTTTTGGTAGTTTTTTACAACAGGGAATATTGAACTTTGGAACTAGAACATTAGCCATTACTGATTAATTAATTATGGCCACTAATTAATTATATCAACAACCATGTGTATATTACATTATAATTGGTCATGGATAGCAACTGCACATATAAACACCATTTCAACTTATGTCATTAAAGTACAAGCACACCAAATTATTCGCAAACCTTATCTCATGCCGCCCTCGTTTAACAGTCGTATGGCAAAGAAAATTTCTACTTGCCTTGTTTAGTAGGGGCTTGGCGCTGTCAGTCACCCACCTCACAACCTTAAATGCAAATTGTGGTCGCTTTTAACATAATATAATAAATTATCAATTCTTAATCAAGTGAAAACCAATTTGTTTAGCAGATAAAAATACCTTAATCATAGATAAGAATGACGTAAGAAGTGAAAGCATTATTGGGAGGGCTTTGTTTATTATAAAATGGTTAGTTGAGACTTGAGAGCTACATTTAGGCAAAAAGAATTGGATCTTTTTTCACCGGCTGGAGAGGCACGTAAACAGATTATGGTCCACATGGAAAGAACCCTATGTTTCCCAGCAACTTCCTTTTCCTTTCTAAAAAAACAAATATATAAAGTTGATGAAGTCACAAGGAAAGTGAATCTAATATGTGTATAGGTGAGATTTGCAGATGTCATCTTGCTTTGTGGCTGCCCTTGTTACTTGTGAATGGGAGTGTGTGTCATGCTCCACACTAAGAGAAGGCTTTTGGTGCTCCCAAACCAATGAAAATGTGACAACTATTTAGGAGAGATGAGAGAAAAAAAAAAGTGTCACACCAAGTAAGGGGCAGGAGCACTAAGATTTTCCCCCCACCCAAATTAGCTTTGATCAGCGACCAACCATGAAGAAGATTGCTTCCATTTAAGGGTCTCGAGTTTAATGGTCACTATGACCACCGATGATTTGAGTAAAAACAAAACCATATTATTAGGTGCACTTGCACATTTTGCTTAGAAAACCACCATTTTGGAGAAATCTCTTCTTATAAACCTAGTTGTCAAATTATAGCAGCCTAAATAAGACCAACATATGTTTCCTACTTTCTAGGATTACTTTACTTAGATCCCGTCCATCTATTGCACTTTGTGGACTGTAAATGCTTCCCTCGTTAGAATGATAGATAAGGGATCACAGACACGGTAGAATGCCCATTCAAGTATCCTTGGAATTCTTATAGAATTGAAATGTTATGAATAAGAAATTGAATGTGTAGAGACATGTCTTTTCACTACCGAACATACATGACTTTTCATAAATGAACAAATATGATTTTTCATTACCGAACAGGCACGACTCTTCACCGCCAATAGACACCATTAATCGTGACCAGTCATGATTTATAAATATGGAAGGAAATCAGAAAAAATCAAGGACTTTTTTGATTTCTCTCTTGTACTGAAACTCTGTCAAAATGATTTTTGAAATCTTTTGTATTAATTTACGTTCATTCTGTACGATTGATCATCGTTCGTTGTGTCCGCCGATACTGTTTCTTCTGGTAGTGTTACCGTCGAAACAAAGGTAACCCGTTCTATCCTGAGAGGCATTTGTCCACTAACCTTAGGCACTGTTGAAGGGACAAAATTGTCTTAAGAACACAGTATCTAATACTGGGGCTCGGATTTGATTTTCTGCAACTTTTATATCTTACATATTACATCTTGATTTTTTGTGATTATATACAATTTTATTTTTTACTGATATCACCATAAGTCCATAACCAACAACACAGATTTTTACACTAGCAACGCTAACAAGTATATCCATATATTGATTGGCAGTAACTTTGTCAAACATATACAACTATGATAAAATTTGAGATAAAAAAAAAAAAGGAAACAAAGCATGTCCTTGCCAATCAATACCCACATCCATTAACTTAGGATTGCCGTTCTTTTCCAGTATATGACTTCACGGTTGGCCATTGATCATCAACTTTTTTTTTTTCCCTGGAAGTATATGTTTTAAAAAATCAAAGAAAACTACAAAGAAGTTGGGAGACTTCCATAATTGCAGGGATTTCCCCTGCATATAACCATACTCTAATAAAGAGGATTCTGACAAGGCAAGAAAGAACAGTATATTAATGCAACACTGACAACTTTTCCCAGTGCTGGATTACCAAATTCAATTTTAAAATATTTTATATTCACAAATCACATGGTTTTCTTACCTTCTACTCAAAATGAATGATTGGCGCAGTGTCATTATGCTTCCCAATTTTAATTTTTATTACATTTTATTCATAATTTTGTCTTACCTTCAGAATTGTATCACAAGTATTAATGCACATAACTAATTCAGTTTCGATTTGTACCTCTCCATCCTCCAGAAGAATGATATCTCTTAGAATTTTACCCCACTATCCATCGGGCAGGTTAAAAAAAAAAATTGCGATAATTTGTCCCAAATTCTATCGCTATTAACATTATTTCGGTCCAAAATTTGGGATGGATGATTACCCAAATCAAACTGAAGTCAATAGAAACAGACCACATAATTAGTAACTACTGAACCAATATTAATTACCACTGCTAACAATATAAACCCATTTGACACTTTTTTCAACAGCAAGTTGGTTCAATGGCCGGAACTCACTTGAACTGGGTTTCCTTTATGCTGGGTCATTTACAAGAAAACCCAATTACATGTTTTTTATTTTGCAGCATTCCCAGTCCACCCTCCCTTGGGGTGAAAGATGATTGGCTCAAGTTCTTTTTACGGAGATATTTGTAATTGGTCGGATTCGAGACCAATTTTGGATTAAGACTTTAAACCCTTCCCAAAAAAGTACTGAGGAGAATAGTATCGAACACATGTTTTCACTCGTATTTACTAGCTAACCGAGCTACTGTCATATTTGGTGATTGGCTCAACTTCTAACCAATACCGTGAGAACTTCACATGGGGTTGTCCAATGATTGCCGAAGCTTGTTGGAGTGACGAGAGGATGTAGACATGGTGGTACCTGTTCAAAGTTTCATGTATCTCATTGGTTGGTATTATTAGTCAAACACTCAAGGTGTGTTGGTTGGGTAACCGACCCTTTGGTATTTTGGAACATGCAACTGCTTTCACGCCAGCAACACTGAATAATTTAATGCTAAAATAATCGGGAGTAGATCTTCTTACGTGAAAAAGTGGTCATGTGATTATGTTATTTGATCACAACCACTCATTTAAGAATTATACATTTTTCTCTCTCTTATTTCATCATCAATGAGTGATTGTGATCAAATAACATGACCACTTTTTCATATGAAAGGATTCACTCCCAAAATAAACTTGAATGGAATAAGATACAAAAAATGGGTGAGAAAATATGGGACGCACACACACGGCAAGAGCCCCACACGCTGCTACTCCCAAATTTGCTTTCAGATATACGCAGCGTTAGCACGAATGGGACAAAGAAGCTGACATGAATGCAACCCAAGTTACCCAACAAATTTTTCTTTTGCCTATGCTGCTTTTGTCTGTCTCCAACACCCAATTGCCAAGTGTTTTATTAAAGGTTGCTTTGGAGACAACAAAAGTAAATATGATTTTCCTTTTTTCTTTTTTTCGTTTTTCTCTTCTTTTGCAGAGTGGGGAAGGTGAGAATTGTATCTCATAGGACTATATTCCTGGTGAGAAGAAGAAAAAAAAAACTGTATGAGTTTCACTTGCGCCTTGAAGCTTGCTACTTGCTACTTGCTACTTGCTAGAATAAAAGAGAGATTGTGTATTTACCAAAAGAAAAATACTTGTAGTACACTTTTTTAAACAGTCCCTTTAACGTACTCTTTATTGTTATATCTTAAAATATTATTATGACTGAATGTATGAGTTTCGTTGAGTAACGTTTATGCGGTTCGGTCATTGTCAATTCATTATTTAATGACTGGGTTGGCTTCATGTACTTGCTTGCTTGTTCAGAAAGGTAACTCCATTTTGCATATGTCCATGTTCACATTACCGATTGCATGATTTAGAAGGCATCAATATCTTACGTAAGAAAAAGTACAAGAACCACCAAATACTGAAGGTTGTTTCAGCTGAACAAATGATCTTGATGTTTAGTTTTTGATTGTTTCAACTTAATGAATGATCTTAATTTTCAGTTCCGAGAATATAATTATAATTTGATAGGAAAAATCAGACTAATAAAGTAATCAAATGAACGGCATAATAATAATAAAACAAAAGCACGTAGCATGCTGCAAATTGGACCACCCACAGCAGGTGTATGCAGGAAAAACAGAAAGTAATTGGCAATGGCATCCATGTTTGGACCAGATCAAAATCTCACCCAATTGATACGGTTCTTCTTTCTTTGTTTTTTTACCTTCACTTCACCCCAAGTTAGCACCAAGCAATGGTATATTTATATGCTTTCTATGACTATACATAATAAAAATTAACCTTAGATAAAAGAAAAAAAGGTAAAATAAAATATATAAAAAAAAAAGTTTTATCATATAAATTAAGGGGAAAATGTTTCTGCAGCTATCTATATTTATTTTCAAAATAAATACGTTTTGGTATTGAAATTTTAAAAAATTATAAATACAAAGACTATTATAAGCTGAAATAAATTAAAATTATAAAAACATCATGATTTTCGCCCTAAACGACGTCGTATTGGACTTATTGCAGATAACTGATAACTTATATGCACTCATATGCAGTAACGGGAGAAAAAGCGAACCCATTAATTAAAAAAATAAAATAAAAAACAACAACTTCAGCTTTATCCTTCAAGAAATTATATCACTTGTATTTACATGTCACAAATCACAACATAACTACGGATTGAAGATAAATGGATTATGGATGGACCGAATGTGATTGTTTTTAGTACAAAAGTGGAGAGAAGGGAAGGAATATGAAAAAAAGAAAGAAAAAAAGGCACAATTGCTTTTGGAGTTATGAAGAGAGAGCAGAAGAAAATTATCTTAAAATATAAACAAAATCCTATTCACAACTCACGAGAAAATCCACCGTGTCTCCTCCAATCACCTCATTGAAAAGAGCTATTACTACACATATCAGCTCTTGTTGTGGACCATGCCTCTGCTTGTTCTATCTCCTAATACACTTGCTAAAAGAAAAAAAAAAAAAAAAAAAAAAAAAGAAAAAAGAAGAAGAGGGAGAGGCATAATCACAGAATATTCACAGTAAAAACCAAATCAGCAAGAGTAGGCCAATCGTTGGGCCACACGATCCCTAAGAATTCCATTATACAAGACTACCCTGTTAGCAGGAATTTCTCTGATCTTTGTTCCGCCATTAAAATTCTTTTGCAGCTTTGATCGTGAGTTTGACTTCATAGACCTTCTGAACTCTTCTCCATCTTCACATGAGTCCATCACGTCCTCTGCAAAGTGCACCCTCTTATTCTTCTTCTTCTTCTTCTTCCCATCTGCTCAAGAACCCACAATTGAGTCAGCAAAAGAAACAGTATAAAGATTGCATCTTGTGAATGTGTATGCATTCAGAAACAGTAGAATAGAAAGTACCCACCAGAGGATATACAAGATCGCAAAATTGGAGATGGTGGAGAAGGTGGAATTTCATGAACAGCGAATTGGGTAGATGGGAAAGACCTCTGAAGACGCAGAGCAAGAAGGATTACTGTGCCGGAAACAGCCATGGCTGTTGCTAAGACCACCCCTTGTGCGCTTATCATGGAAGACATAGTCTCAAGAAAAGAAAGAGAAAGTTTGATGGGAAAAAAAAAAGAAAAAGAAAGAAAAAAGATGGGAATGAATGTGAAGATGGTTTGTGAAGTGGGGGACTGAGGAATTTAGTGAGTGCAGAGGAGCAATATTATACTAGTGGTTAGCAGCACCCTGCAAGAGCCAATATTATATTTGAATCAAATGGCACATTTTTTTATTATAAAGAAATTTCATTAAAGCAAAAGACCAAATGAAATATTACTTCTTTAACAACTAAAAAGATATATTGGATGTGTTATGGCCTGGAACCTATTGACCGGAACTTATGCGTTACATTGTACGTTATTGACTCGATACATAATGTTCTAATATGTATTTGGATAAGCTTTTTTAAAAAACAGTATTTTTAAAGCATAACGTTTTAGAATTTATTTTTTTAATTTATGAGCAAAAAATTATAAGTTTTTTTCCCACAATTTTAGTTTTTTATTGAAAAAATTATATAACTGTTTTAAAAAATTTGATCATACTTATTTGTTTTTTTACTTTAAGAAAAAAATGAAATGAGTCCCTTATTTTATTTATTTTTTAATAATTTAAATTAATATAAAGACGTGCATCACATAATTCTCCTTTCTTTCAATCTAATTGTTTAAAAAGCTTTTATATTCTGGCCAAGTTAAAACTTTCAGATCTTTTTTAAAAATTAATTGCGAAGATTTCATTTTAGATTCTTTTTCCTTTTTGTCTTACTCCAATCTAAAATGAATGCAAGTTTATTTTTTTATTTATGGGCTTTATATTTTTTCACAGGAGAAGTATAAATATTTTTTCATATTTAAGAAAGGAAAATGTTATATTTATAAATTTTTTGTTTACAAATTATATTATGTCTAACCGATAAGAAATTCTTAAGTAGAGTATTATCGGGCAAATATAACGTAGTTTGTAAGTTTGTAAAAAAAAAGTTTATCAATATAACTCTACTTTTTAAGAAATGGTGGGATCCACATTTTGAGTGAGAATGGAATGAAATCAGAACCATCAATAATTAGGAAATTATTTTCTATAATAAAAAAAAATGAGTCTATTAAAATTCTTATTTTTTTCATAATTTTCTTTCAATTTCTTTTATTTTTTATTTTTAGAACAGAACATGGTACTCACATAATAACAAAAAAACTCTTATTATAAAAAAAACAAAACAAAAAAGCTCTCATGCTGGAGGCATTTATAAGAATTGGGGGTCAGAGACAGGTGGTGCAAGTGATGCCAAGTGACAACTTTTATTTATTTATTTAGTAAGAATCCCGTAACGGAGGAAAACTTCAATATACCGGAGCAACGAATAAAAACATGGGTAGGAAAATAAAATGAAAAATCTATTTTAATAAAAGAAAATATCGAGTTCATATTGAAATTTTTCTTCCTAAAATAGAATAGAGATGACAATATGAATTGAACCCGACAGATAAATCCGTTAACCTGCCAAAACGGGACGAGTTGAGTTATATATTTCAACTCATCAACCCGCCTCAACCCGCCTCATTGGGTTGTGGGTCAAAACGGGTTGGCAGCGGGTCGGGGCGCCAGGTCAAATTTTTTATTTTTTTTTACTATTAAATAGTGTTTTAGTTGTTTTTAAGTTTGTGTGATATCCAATTTTTTGTTGTCTTAGTACTCTTTGGAAAAAATATAAAAGAAAAACTTTATTTATGACAAAGGTAATTTATGTATGGAAATAAAAACAAATTTGTAAAGAATATCTGACTAAATATTAGCATACATTTAGACATAAGATTAAAAAAAACTAAAAGGATTATGATATGAAAATAAGTAATATTATAATATTTATAAATATAATTTATTTATTTATTTTATTATTTTTTATTTTTAAACGGGTTGACCCGTCAATCCATCATAAAACAGAACGGGTTGAGATTTTCAACCCAAATTCAAAAAAAGCTGATCAACCCACTTTTGACGGGTCGAAACGGGCCACCCGTTTTGTCACCCCTAAAATAGAGTAACGAGTTTTCACGCTTCTACCGCGTGTTACTGTGTGTGGGCAACACCAGATATTCCCGAAATTTTCAAATCTACACCGACAATATTAACTGGAGCGTTAATTATTTTTTTCATCTAGTCTTCCTTCATTATATCATTTCATCCATATATATATATAATAAAATAGAATTATAAAGGTCGAAACTTTATGTTTGATTCATAAACTTATTCAATTAAATTGAGAACCTTAGAAATTTTTGTTTTACATATCAGATCCTGGCATGTAATTCCCCTTTCATCCAACTTTGTGAAAATTCAATAAAGTACGCGCAATTCCTACTTTAATTTCATATTATTTGAGTATTTTATAATCATATACATATCCTTAAATTTTTAAATCTTATATTTGGTATCAGAGCCTTGTGTATATGATTATAAAATCTATGTTGTTGATTGGAATCAAATAAGGGAAAAAAGACTATCATTTAAAAGGACACAAGTTGTGTCCTTTTAGATAATTTACATCAAATATGATCGGTCATATTTTGTGTAAATCTGAAAAGCTGTTTTTTTTCTCTTTCCTCAGTCGCATCGCTAACGTGTAAAGTAAAAAAAAACAACTTTTTCAGAATTACACAGAGTATGACCGGTCTTACTCTGCGTAAGTCACTAAAAGAACACAACTTGTATCCTTTTGAATGACACACACTAAACCCATCAAATAAATTGATTACAAAAAATAGAATTATAAAGGTTGAAACTTTATGTTTGATTCATAAACTTATTCAATTAAATTGAGAATGTATGCATATATATATATATCAAGCAGTTTGAGATATATTTATTTCCATCTACTTAAAAATTAAGTTGTTTTGTTTATTTATTTTTTTATATTAATTGATTCACTTTTGAATAGCTATGATTTCCTTTTTATCTCTTTTCCTTTATCATCATTGATCCATCTTTGTACGGTTATGATTTAGTAGTTGAGATAAAATTATCTCAAATAACTTGAGAAATGATAAACCTTATATATATAAGAGCATGATCTTTTGACACCGGTATCAAACTTTAAAATTTGACACCAAATCATAACTGTTGATTTCTGCTAATCAACGATAATTATTCATTGTGAATCAAACTTATTAATTAATTATTAATTTTCGATAAATGATGACCGTTGATTAATGAAAATCAACGATTAAAATTTGGTGTCAAATTTTAAAGTTTGATATCCTATATCAAAAGATCCTATATATATATATATATATATATATATATATATATATATATATATATATATATATATGAGGTAGGATCCATTGACACCAGTGTCAAATTTAAAATTTAACACCTCATCTGAGAGCCGTTAGATAAAAAAAGATCAACGACTCTGATTTGTAAGCATGTAACACAATTGATCTTTTTTGATCTAATGACTCTCATATGAGGTGTCAAACTTCAAATTTGACACTGGTGTCAAAAGATCCATCCTCTCTCTCTCTCTCTATATATATATATATAGGGCTTAACATTTCTGCAGCAGTCGTAGATAGTGTTATCTACAGCTGACACAAAAAAGTGGGCCCCACGACTTTAAAAAAAAAAAAAAAAAACTCAGGATCCGTTGCCGTATCCTAGGATTCGGACGTGTATCCATGCTTGTTGTAGGTACAGCAGCTGCAGAAATCATTTTGCCATATATATATATATAGGGTCTGGATCATTTTACACCCGTGTACGTTACACTCTTAATCATGTTCGTTAATTTCACTTATATCTAAGGGCTCAAACTTTTTAATAATGTGAGCCATTGGATACAAGTGGATCAATGGTCAAGATTGAGTATATAACTTCCAAATCTTACACCAGTGTAAGAATATCTTGACCTATATATATATATATATATATAATGAGCATTAAAGTGTGTGAAGTTTAATTTTCTTTTTATCTCTATTCTTCCTATATGATAATATATAAATCTCGCACATAAGTAATAAATAGTTTTATATGCTGATATATGAAAAAATTAGAAAAATGTTTATCATTTTAAATGATATAATTTATATCATTTCTCTCTCACAAAGAGACGAGACCTACACCTTTATTTTTTTGTCAACTCTCTCTCCTCATTTATCTATTTCTTTATCTCTCTTAAAATAACATAACTTTACATCCTTTAAAATAACACACACTTTACCCAAAATTTAAACCATAAAGTAAGGGGTTCGCTTGTAATTTAAAAAATAAGATGTCATGTACAATTAAGTGTAAATCTAAAAGTGAGGTCAAGTGTCATTAGCGTCGTTATCCCGTAAAGAAAAGAAAACAAAGACGTACGTCATCCATGAATATTGTATACAGGTGGAAAGGAGAAGGAATATACGACTTGTGAAATTATTGGAGTCTAGTTGAAAAATGGAGCTTCTGTCATCCATGACATGTCTCTCTGGCTGGATTTTATTTTATTTTTTATGCTTATAAATTGTTTCAACACACTCTTCACCAATAGTCACACACTTCTCTAATCCCATACTTTAATTAAAAAGATTAACACAATACTCTGCATGTTACCCATGATGTCATTTTTAAATTGCGAAAGGGGATGCCTTGTGTCTCTCGTCGAATCGATGTCAATCCGGCCAATTGAAGCTTTGATAAAACTCAATTGGACATATGTAATTGACAACACTAAAAGGTAGACCAAAACCTGTCTGATTTAATGTTTATAAATAAAAATAAAATCAAAGCATTGAATTTTCTAGTTTTTTTAATTTATTAAATATTTATTGGTTGTTGGTTTTTATAAAAATGTTTAAAGTTTATAAAGTAAAATTAAGGGCTTTATTATTTTCAATTAAGTAACAGGAAAATAAAACTTTCTTATGCGTATTTAACCAAAAATGGGATCTACTAAAAGAAAAAAAAGAAAAAAAAGCAGTTAAATCATCATATGAGGGTAGGAGAAAGTTTTATTTTCCTGTTATTTGAAAATAATAAAGTCCTAAAATTAATTATCAATGTTTATTTTGTATTCTTTGTGTAGTTCATTCTTCAATCTCATTATATGAGAAAATATCTATATTATATAATATTTTTCTTTTTCTCTATATAAC